GGATTCGAACCTGCCACCTTAGGTGTATGTGGCTGGCGCCTTAGCCGCTTGAGCCACTGGTGCCGAGCCTATCCAGCTTTTTGAGCTGGCCTGGTTTGTTAGGGCAAATTCTATGTGTTGATAAAACATAGTAGGGGCATAGAGGTAGAAATAGCAGATGCACCTTGATGTCACTCAAGTATAGAGGAATGGAAAGTTTTCCCCAGGCGGTATTTGCATACTGTGGAATGGACAATTCAAAGGGACTATTTAAGACCAAATAGCTTCTACAGTGATTGACCTTTTAAATAGATTATCTCTATCTATATCTATACAAAAGTAGATGTATTTAATTATTTAAAATTTTTATTATAATTTCAAAAGATAGAATTTTTTTCTTCCTCTTAACATTGAAATTCTACTCAGTGATTTCCTAGGGCTTATACAGTTTTTAAAAAATAAATTCACATTTTATTTAGATTGAAATAAAGTATACAAAATTGATTTTCTTCATCACTGAATGTTTTTTGAGATTTTCGGGTGTTTCTCTAATAATTTCTCAAGTATCATCTCCTTTTGGCTGTCTGGTTTAAAACCTGATTGTGGGCCAGGTGCAGTGGCTCACGCCTGTAATCCTAGCACTCTGGGAGGCCAAGGTGTGTGGATTGCTTGAGCTCAGGAGTTTCAGACCAGCTTAAGCAAAAGCTATTAAAAAAAAAAAAAGGCCAGGCATTGTGGTGGGCATCTATAGTCCCAGCTACTTGGGAGGCTAAGGCAAGAGAATTGCTTGAGCCCAAGAGTTTAAGGTTGCTGTGAGCTGATGCACTATATTGAGGGCAGCAAAATAAGACTCTGTCTAAAAAAAAAAAAAAAAAAAATGCATATAAATAAAATAAAACGTGATTGTGTGTCTTTTTTTATAGCATTCAAGAGGATAATAAAGCACCTCCACTCAAACAAGTCCCAATTCAAAGGCCTCGATTTCAGAAACCAAAGCCAAACATAGGAAGAGAAATTGGAAGAAGAAAAATTTCCTCAAAGGAGGTGGTATCAGAGGAGATTCTTGTCTCTGGGGAAGGAACAGCAGCTTTGAGAGAAACTGTTAGATTAGACACTTCACTAAGACAGAAAGTATTAGTGGAGATTAATACTGCTAAGGAAATGGAGTCTGATTTAAAAGAAACTGAAAAAAGCGACATTTCTCCTGGGGAGAAGATACCAGAAGTAGTTGATGTCATCATGGAAGTGGAGACAGGTTTAAAAGCAACTGAAAGAAATATATCTCCAAGGAAGAAGACACCAAAGGTGATTGATGCCACTGAGGAAATAGACACAGATTTGGAAGAAAGAGGAAGAAGGAAAATATCCCCACAAGAAAATGGGCCAGAAGAGGCTAAAATTATATATGAAATGGAGACAGATTTGAAAGAAACTGCAAGAGAAATGCCCACAAGAGAGACAATGCCAGAGCTGATTGGTATCACTGCAGAGAGACAGACAGATTTGGAAGAAACTGAAAGAAGAGAAATAACCACATGGGTAAAGGCCCCAGAGGAGTTCAAAACTATAGGTGAAATGGAAGCAGATTTTGCAGAAATTCAGGGGAAAATTTCCCAAAGGGAAAAGGCAATAGTGGAGGTCAGTGCCATAGAGGAAGGGGAAATTGATTTAAAGGAAACTGGAAAAAAAGAGATTTCCTTGATGGAGAAGCCATCAGAAAGGATGACTGTCATTGAAGAAATGGAGGCAGATTTGGAAGAAACTAGAAGGGAAATTTCTTCGAGGGATAGAGGATCTGAGGAGATCTGTGTTACTAAGGAGATGGTGGCCGATTTGGAAAAAACGGGAAAAACAGACATTTCTTCTCCAAGAGAAAATGAACCAGAGGAAGCTGGTACCTCAAGACAAACTGAGCCAAATTTAATGCAGAACAACAGTGGGGACTGCAGTGCTACGCCTTCCCTAGATATAAAAGTATGTATTTTTGGTCCATTAAAAACTTTTTTGAATGCATTTTTCAAAGAAAAGTTGCCAAAGTAATTTCATAATTGTTGCCCTTAAGTAGAAAAAAACTTAAAATCTCTAGAAGTCTAAAATTTCTTTCTAGTCTTAAGTTTCTGTTTTAGGGGCTTGAAGAAACTATTCTTTAAAAAACAAAAACAAAAAATTAAAAAATTTTTAAACTTTATTCAAATTAATATGAGGGTACAATATTTAGGTTACATTGTTCTTATTTCCAGGGTAAAGTTCCATTGAAAATTTTTTTATTGTGGAAAAGATTCTTGTTTTTTCCCTTTTCCAAGTCAGGCAGGTAATGTGTAACATTGTAACACAGTTTGAGGAAACTTCTCACATTTGAGTGTAAAAACCTAGTCATGGCTCGGCGCCTATAGCTCAACCGGCTAAGGTGCCAGCCACGTACACCTAAGGTGGCGGGTTCGAATCCCCAGCCCGGACCCGCCAAACAACAATGACAGCTGCAACCAAAAAATAGCCGGG